TATTACACATTTTGGTCCTCATTTACTCTTGGAGTTTCTCACACCAGAGAAACTATTTGGTATTTACATATGTGTGTCCTATTTATTTCACTTAAGAGTAACACTTCAATGTGGATCCATTTGCCTATAAATGCCTCTATTATGTATGGCTAAATAGTACTCCATTTTATATTTTCATCTTAATGTTGATTTCTTCTCTTGCACAATGTGGTGAAAGAAAGAAACTATCTCAAAGAAATATTTCCAGGATTAAATGAAGACGTCTAAAAGCAAGAAGCACAATCCTCACATGCTAAGCAATTTGCCTTGACTATTATGTTTTTTAATTCATTTTTTGAAAGGAAGACAAGAATAAACTAAAATGAAAATGAAAAATGTTAACACTCAAGGGAATATTTTTTCAGTAATACTTTAATAGGTAGAGACTACTGTATATACTTATGGGGTGGGAAGCGATGTTTTGATACACATATACTTAGTAGTATTATCAAATCAGGACCATTAACACATATATCCCCTCAAATATTTAACACATCATGGTACTGAGGACATTCAGGGTTATTAATGAGATAATTTTTGAGGATACCATATTGGTATTTCATGTGTTAGGTACGTTAAACATGAAGTTAGAAATATCAGGTATAATTGTAAGAACATCAACCAAAGATTAAATGAATTTTTAAAATTTTATTTTTTATTGATACATGTTTTCATTGAATAATGATTACATTCCTCATGGGAAATTGCTGCATGCAAATAGCATGTCTTAATTCTTATTTACATATGTTTATTCCATCTTCCAACAGGAAAATGTACTGGAGAATTAAATAATGAATGATGAGGAGAAATGTATTTGGCAAACAGTTTTGGGGGGTACAAAAAATGAAAGAATAAGGCATATAAGGAATGTATACAAAACTTAAAGTTGAATTATTAGAAATAAGGCTGAACATGCAGAGAAAAAACTACTGAATATCTAATTTAATATATTAAGGATTTTATAAGTAAGTAAAACTGGAGCTCCTTTCACATATTATGAGAAGAGGCACATTTTGAGATCATAAGGAAGCAGAAAGTGGGGCCAAATGGAGGCAGAGGGAACAGTGCAGAGCGCATTGAGATAATTCTGAAGAGAGAGGCTGGTGACCTGGCTTAAGCTGATCTAATTTTATGCCAGTGAGACTAGTATATTTGGGAAGACAAATGTATTAGTTTTTTATTAATGTAGTGAAAGTATCAAGTTCTTTTTGGGTGAGACTTTTTCTGCCAGTGGTAGATTTTTGGTTTGATTTAATTAGTGAGTCATTTGGGGGCTGTGAGAAGGTATCTGACATTATCTCACTTAAGATTTTAAGATATTCTATTTAAAGAGTTAAGAATGATTTGCATGGTGCAATCTCCTTACAGCTGATACAGCAATTTAGGTGGCTATATGGAGGTAATATGAGAGTGGAAATAGTACAGGATGAATTTAGAAGTGGCCAGTTTGGGTTAATTTCAAATATAATCAAAAAGATTGCAGCAAGGCAGGATACGAGTGTATAGAAAAGAGAGGAACTCACTATGCCTCCTTGGTTGGGGATGTGAACAAGTGGAAAAATGGAATTACATCTATTCGAAAGGAAGGGTTATCGGCGGAGCCAAGTGTTTAGGAATAGAAAAGTTAATCAATGTGTGTTAGAAAAGGAATGCAATCAGAATATTGAAAATCACAATATTTGCCTTAGGGAATGAAGTGCCAACTAAGCACTAAAGATATTGAATCATCAAAGACAACAGCCTGCTCTGCTGAGGAGTCTTCCCATTGCCCCTTTCACATCTTTCTTCCTCAGGCTGTAGATGAAAGGGTTCAGCATAGGGGTGACCACAGTGTACATCACAGAGGAAACTGTGTTTCCCTGGGAAGAATGAGTTAAAACAGAACTAAGATACACCCCAATTCCTGTTCCATAGAATAAGGAGATCACGCAGAGATGAGACTCACAGGTGGAAAAGGCTTTATAATTTCTTTCTCTGGAAGACATCCTCATTACTGTGGAGAAAATCTTAGAATAAGAGAAGAGGATACTGGTGACAGAAAACATACCCAGGAGGGCAATTGTTATGTACAACACAACATTATTGATTTGGGTATCAGAGCTGGCCACCTTGAGAAGTGGAGGCAGTTCACAGACAAAATGTGGGGTTTTAGTACTTCTAGAGAAGGTCAGATGCATTACTAGTAGAAGGTGGAGCAGTGCATTCCAGAACATAATTAACCAAGAAATCAGAACCAGGAGGCAACATAGCCGAGGGTTCATGATGACTATGTATTTCAGAGGGTGACAGATAGCCACAAAGCGGTCATAGGCCATGATGGTCAATAGGAAATTATCCATTCCAGTGAAAATCGTAATAAAATACACCTGTGTGAGACATTCTGTGTAGGAGATGCCTTTATGCTGTGTGTGACTGTTCAACAGCATCTTTGGAACCATGGTAGAAGTGAAACAGATGTCCACAAAGGACAGGTTGGAGAGGAAGAAGTACATGGGGGTGTGGAGGTGGGAGTCAAAAGTGACAGCCAGGATAATGAGCAGGTTCCCAAGCACAGTGACCAGATATGTGGGCAGGAACAGTCCAAATAGACAGGGCTGCAGTTTAGGATTTTCTGAGAGGCCCGGGAGGAAGAACTGTGATGTGCTTGTATGGTTTTCCACTCTCAAATCACTGATGTTATCTCCTGGAGTACAAGTCAAATACAAAATTCTAAGAACAAGAAACTGGTACCTTGAGTAATTATCACTTTACCGTATCATCTTTTAGGTGAATTCCTCATCTTCTGTTTAGTCTGGCTAGTGAGAGTAGATCGGTAATCCAGGAGACATTCTTTTTCTATTTAAAATGTGCATTATTTAGTAATTTCTTTAATTCAGTAGAATTTTTTCTTGTTATGTACTCCCTAGTTTTGATTCTCCTACATGGATCACTAGGATAAATAATTTTTTTCTTTGGCATATCCTGTCCAAAATAATTGAAAACATTTTCTTTGATTTTACCCATATTTCTTTAGTGACTCTAAAATAATGAAGAAGCATACATAGTCTTTTATATCAATTTTTGTATGATTTGACACTTCCTATGATATGACAATTAATGTCATTTTTGTCTGAATATGTGATTATTAATACTACCTTAATTGTGAAGTTTAAAGATGCACTTCTTAAGAGTAGGAGCTCAATAAATGAAAACTGTCATTGTTATTACAAATTATTGAAAATAATTCTCTATGAGAGAAATCATATGTAAAAACTTCTTTCTCCATATATATATGTGACATATATATGACATATATATGTCACATATATATATATGACATATATATGTTAAATATAAATATATGTCATGAAATCCAGTATATGCCTGTCATTTAGAAACTTAGAAAATACGTTCTTTAGTCAGACTTCCTTAAGTATAATTATCACCCACCACTTATCATCTGTCTGGCTTTGAGAAAGTTAGCTATAAATAAATCACCTGCATAGTAAAAAATGGTAAACATTCATTAAGTGGTAGGAGTGGAGTATGGCAATATAAGGAGTGATTGAAATATTCAGTGAATGTTTAAATGAACAAAATTATTACAGTAGACGGACACATTGCTATTAACCTCTCTCAGAATACTCCCCTTTGCTTTGAACACTTATCTCCTATTTCTTGCCATTTTGGAAGAAATTTTGGAAATACTCTTTCTTAAGTGTCTATGAAATGTGATAAAAAATATGATGAAGTCTGTTGGTGAATGGCATCCAATGGAAAGAAATTCATAAAAATAATGTAGTATGCCCTTATCTAACTTATTCACTGGATCTGGCAATATAACATTTCTTGGTCTTCCCCAAAGACAAAATTGCCATGAAGGTAAAAGTTTTGAATCAGTTCAGGACATTGCTGAAAGCACAATAGCACAAATGAAGACATTTACAAAAATAGGACTTTCAGAGCTGCTCCAGAATGTAGCAAGAACAATGGGATAAGAATGTTTGAAGCAAAGGGAAGGATTTGGGGTGGGATTAATGGTGATGTGTCCAATGTACCTTTTGGTGTGGTAATTTTAAAACTTAAATCTTTCATCATACTATGTAAAAGGTGAAAGATTTATGTGATCTGATGAGAAACCAGAATATGATCATACTATGAAAATGAGATAATTCATATAATCTTTCTACTATAGATCTTGTAGCATAAATGAGCATTTCATAAATGTAAAATTATTTTCTTAAAAGCAAAACTAACCTATTGTACATGGTTTCTTTTTTACTTCATAATATGTTTCTTACATGAACATCATTATTGATAGTCCCTTATAGCCATCACAATAAACACAGTCTTATAAACATCATTATAAATGCAATGGATCGGTTACCTCTTTTGATCACTGTACAACATTTCTAATTTTTGAAGATCCCTCTGGCTCCTCCTGTCAGGAAATGCCTGTCCAGTGAATTCTTCCAAGAAGAAAACAAACCATGTGAACTATGTAGGTAAGAGGAGGAAAGAAAACCACAGCACAATTAAAATTCATACATGAGAGTGTATCCACAAGTGTCCATTCTCCTGAGTGGGAATGTACTGAGAATGTGTTAACATCAGAAGAGTTAATTGCTAAAGTATGTTTGATGTAGTATCCAAGGTTTCTATATCAAACTATCTAAAAATATAAAAAGACAAACATAGCTAGGCAGAGCGATGGATATCTATAATCCAAGAACTCTGGGAGGCTGAGGCAGCAAGATCACAAGTCTAAGTATAGTTTCAGCAATTTAATGATACTCTGTCTCAGAATAAAAAAGAAGCTCAGTGTGAAGGCTGTGTGTATAGTACACAGCATGAGGGAAAAAAAATGCAGGTCAAGCCTGAACTACATGGTGAGATCCTGTCTGAAAAAAAAAGAAAGAAAAAAAAGCTTTTGAGAAAAATATGCCTATAATCCCCATAAAAAGAAAAGGGTCAATTTGCTAATGCCTGCAGTGTTAAAAATGAATAAATTTATTAGTGACAGAAGACATCATTGTGGAGGGTTTTTTATCTCTTCAAAAATCATATTATCTGGAAATAATCATTTGACTTTATCATTTTCTTTTTTTATCCATTTAGTTTGTTTCTCTTGCCTAATTACTTTTGCCAAAATTTTAATAAGTATTATATTGAGCATGTGTCTTGACAACAGGCACCTTTGTCTCATTCCTGATGCTTTAGCCATCTTCTTATCACTGAGACATGGTACACAATGTTATAGCTTATATCTTGATGTCCCTTCCAATCATCATGCAATCATAGACGGGGCTTTTTGGAGGTGGCTGGATCTAGGATGTGTGATGCTGGGACTAACAGGGTCCCATCTTGTTTGGGTGGCACCACTGAAAAGGTAGATAGCCGGGATGGAATATAAAAGGACAGACAGAAGGCCACCCCTTGCTGCTTTGCTGCTGCTGTCTTCTATCTTCTCTACCATGGACTGTTTCTCCTCTTTGATGCCCCTCTGCATCTGATAGATGACTCCAGAAAGATATGTTTACTATAGAGAGGCTCTAGATTCAGAAAGTGAGAGAAGAAAATTGAATCATTGGCAAAATATGGTTTAAATTTCCTTCAAAATACAAGGTCTTCACCTTCACAGACTGAAGAACTATGAGATTTTACCAGCATCAATATTCTTGAGAGAAACTCCAGGACCCACACTCTCTCCTCTTTTTTACTCCGCCAGGCTCACTGAGAAACACTGATACTCAGATGTCAGTCACTGAAGCTTTGTCTTCTCCACAATCAGTTCCCATGAAGCCTTCTTCAGTTTTCATAGAGGCTGGGTCAGAGAATTGCAAGTGAGTGTTATCTGTGGCATCTGTACACTTGCCACTGTCTCAAGGGTTGAATTCTCAGAGCTCATTAAACAAATTGTGTTCTTTTCACTCTCCACACAATTCAGCCACCATGAGGTAGAAAGAATGATGGGGTTTTTTTCATTAATTTTCTGTCAGTGTAGGTGCTTGTTGGGAAGGTGAACATATCCAAGAGAAAGTTTTAAATTTGGTTTGATTTAAGTCAATAGATGTCCTAGTGAGGAAAATTTGATTTCTAATAAGAATAAATACAAAGAACTATTTTGTGTTGTATGGATCCCTTGAAAAAATAATTGAAGACTTTATGGATCTTTTGGTGCCCAAAATGTAATGGAAGCAATACAATTCTGTATTTTCTTATTTTTTTCTTAATTTTATGTATATTTTATATTTCAGCTTTTTTAATTTAACATGTTAAAGTGTTTATTAACATGTTTGAAGATATAATAGTGTGCAATCTCTAAACATAACCACTCAGCATATGCATTATGTTCTATAGTTATTTTTATAGTGAGAACTCAAGAAACACTCAAAATTTTGCAAGAATATAACATACAATTAAATACAATAAACATACTGTATAATAGATTTCATAAGCT